ATTCACATATTTACAATATATCTTTTTTTGTGAATCCATTTATTTCTGTAAAGCTGCTTTGTGACAATGTCCATTGTTAAAAGCGCTATACAAATAAAATTGAATTGAATTGAATTAAAACTAACTTTTATTTCTAATCGACCTCTCAGTTTAAACTTTTATAACAGGTTGTAATCTCTGCATAGACACGGTCTGTATTAGTCTAGTAACTGGCTTAATGAGTCTACCTCTTGTACACAAGGTACTCTGTTATTAATAGGTTCTTGTACACTCAAGGGTGTCCCCCATAGGTGTCTCTATAACAGTAGAGCCATCACATTTGCCAATCTTGGAAGAATACTCATCACTTAGAATGGCCAACACAGAAGAATCATCAAACGTCACACAACATACAGATGTAGACAGATCAGATAGATTGTTGGAACTTTCCTAAAACACAGTCATTCCATCCCACTCAGTTCCACATTCCACAGTTGGATCATTAGTTACATCTCTCTGACCAACACTAAAGCACTCCACAGACTCTATGCTTGCCACGTCCATGGTAGCATTTAGATTGGCCACCCAAAAAGAGGTTCAATCTGCACTCAGTTTGATCATTTTCTTCACATGATGAATATTATTATTGCTAAGATAAGAAATATAATGTCACTACAAGAAGCAGAAAAATTAGTTCATGCTTTTGTTACCTCTAGGTTGGATTATTGTAATGTCTTGCTGTGTGGATGTTCCAGTAGGTACATAAACAAGCTCCAGTTAGTCCAGAATGCAGCAGCGGGAGTCCTTCCTAGAACCAGAAGATATGACCACATCAACCCTATCTTATCCACAATGCATTGGCTCCCAATCAAATTTTGTATTGATTATAAAATACTACTATTGACTTATAAAGCACCGAATGATCTCGTGCCTCAGTACCTGAGCGAACTTTTGGTCTTTTATATTCCACCACCCCTACTATGATCAAAAGGTGCAGGCTACAGCAGGGGGTAGAGCTCTCTTTTACAAAGCCCCACAGTTATGGAACAGCCTTCCAATTAGTGTCTCATTGTTTAAGGCTAAACTGAAAAAATATTTGTTTAGTCAAGCCTTTTGTGAATAGTTTTTTCTTAGGTAAAGGAGCAGATCTGGAGGATTCGCAGGCATAGAGTGTTGTGGTGAACTGGGATGTTTGGATGCTGTCGCCCCCCCACTCTCATGCGTTCACTCAGGTTTGTTGACGGTGGAGTGGCTGGCTGCTTTATGTCCCAGGGTGCCCTCATGTCTGTGTTAGCTTCTGGCTCTCCCTTTTAGTCATGCTGACACAGCTAGTCTTGCTAGAGTTCCTGCTTGCACTCTGCATGCAAAGTACTTTCTCTCTCTCTCTCTGTTGAGCTACACATGCTACTCCTGAGATACCAGTGATCCTGACCCCTTCTGCTCTCTGGACCTGCCTGATCCATCCTGATGCCCTACATCTGGTTGGAGGTCTCATCGGATGGAGATCACTTGTTGCTGCTGGGGGTGGCCCCACATGGACGGTCTGAACATCACTGGGATTGCTGGGATTGGTGCTGCTTGGGGGCTGTGGAGATGGCTTGGGGATCTTATATAGGGAGTTGTACTGTGATGGCTTGGGACTGCGATTGCTGTGGTGGCTTTGGGGCTGCGGTTGCTGCAAGCAGTTTTGCACTCAGGTCTCCATCAGTGGACAGTGGATAGGTTTAACAAAACAGACTTCTTGTGAAAACTGTAATGAATTTGAACAATTGCACTATTTGTCCATGTAGTACACAATTCTAGAAGGGATTTATTTATAAATGCACTATCCGTTATCACCTAGATGAGGACGGGTTCCCTTCTGAGTCTGGTTCCTCTCAAGGTTTCTTCCTCATATCGTGTCAGGGAGTTTTTCCTTGCCACCGTCGCCTCTGGCTTGCTTATTAGGGATAACTTCACACAGTTCTACCAAACCCCAGTACCCACTACCATTCAGGAATATGGTTAAAATGATTACAATTCACACAGATCACAGTTTAGTTAATTCTTGGGGTTGTTAGGATTCAAATGATCAATTAGACACTACAATTATAACAACAAGCTGTTTGGACACAGGGGAGTGCATGACCAGGTTCAGTTTTAGAGGATCCATAGCTTTTACTTCTGTTGGATGTGATGCTTCTTCAGTCATTATTGCTTCTAGTTGTGGTGTTCAGTGCAGCCAGTGTTGGCAGAGCTGGAGATTTATGTCTGTTCTCATCATCTTACTGGTAATCCAGCAGCCTATGAAACACGTACAGTGTCACTAGAAAGTTTGTGAACCCTTTACTATTTTCTGTAATTCTGAATAAATTTGACCTGAAATGTGAACAGATCTTCATCTAAATCCTAAAGCTAGATAAAGAGAAAACAATTAAACAAATGACACAAAACATTATAGTTTTTACATTTATTTATTGAGCAAAACAATCCAACATTAAAAAATCTTGTTGAAAAAAGTATGTGAAGCTTTGCTTTCAGTAGCTAGTGAGACCCCCTTGAGCAGCAGTAACTTCAACCAAATATTTATGGTAACTGGTGATCAATCTTGCACAATGGGTTGGAGGAATTTTGTCCCATTCCTCTTAACAAAACTGCTTCAACTCAATGATGTTGGTGGGCTTCCTTGCATGTACTGCTCTTTTCAGGTCCTTCCACAACATTTCTATTTATGTAAGGTCTGGAATTTGACATTCCAAAATTTCTTCTTACATACCCTGACATTCTCCTGTAGAATTTGCTGGTCCAATCCAGGATTCATAGGTCCATCAATAATGGCAAGCCATCCTGGACATGAGGCAGCAAAGCAGTCCCAAACCATGATACTGCCACGCCCATGCTTCGTGGTTGGGATGAGGTTCTTATGTTGGAATGCAGTGTTCGGTTTTCACCAAACATAGTGCTTTTCTTTTAAAACAAAAAGTTCTATTTTGGATTCATCTGGCAACAGAACATTCTTCCAATAGGCTTCTGGCTTATCCCTGTGGACTTAAGCAAACTTCAGACAAGCAGTGCTCTTTTTGGAGAGCAGTGGCTTCCTCCTTGCTATCCTGCCATGCACACCATTCTTGTTCTGTGTTTGCCTGTTGGTGGACTCATGAAGATTGACATTACTCAATGCAAGAGTGGCCTGTAGGTCCTTTGATGTTACCCTAGGATTCTTCGTGACTTCCTATAATATTATTCACCGTGCCCTTGGATTGATTTTTGCCCTTGGACTGGTGCTTAATTTCCTCCATTTGTATATCATCTGCCTCACAGTGAATTGGTGGAGGCCAAACTCTTTAGAAATGGTTTTGTAACCTAACTCTTTTTCTGAGGTCCTCAGGAATCTCTTTTGATTGAGGCATGTCACAATTCAATAAACCTGTGTGGTGAAGAGCAGACTTTGATAGTGAAGACCCAAGTTTATGTTCATGAAACATGGGAGGGCCTGCTAAACTCATGCCTGATTGCCATCCCCTTGATTGAAACACCTGAATTCAATTACCCCTTTAAATTAACTCATACTCCTAGAGATTCACATCCTTTTTCCAATAAAGATATTTAATTTTTGTTTAATTGGGTTCTATTTATCTAGTTTTAGGACTTAGATGACAATCTGATCACACTTCAGGTCAAAGTTAAGCAGAAGTACAGAACATTTCAAAGGTTTCAATTCCAAAGGGTTCACAAACTTTCTAGAAGCACTGTATGTTAGCCCATGTCACTGGAAGCCCAAAACAACTGATATTTTGACAGGTGAATGATTTTATATATATATATATATATATATATATATATATATATATATATATATATATATATATATATATGTGTGTGTGTGTGTGTGTGATGAAGGGCCAAACAGCAAATAATTAATAAATCTGAATATATATTTCTAAATCTGAATACATAGTTATAAATCCTGAATATGTAAATGTAAATCCTGAATATATAGTTATAAGTTTGAATTTATATTTGTAGATCATGAATGTATATATATAAATCCTGAATATATAGTTATAAACTCTGATTATATATTCATATATTTTATCAGGCATATTGATAGACAACCTCTTAATTTTTCCATATTTGACTAAACCAATAAACATGCTTGATGTAATCAGTTTTTGTTTGTCAACAGATTGTTGACAATTTCTCTAGCCCTCTCAGTCATGCTGAATTCTGCAGAAAAGCTACATAGCATTAACATTGTTCACGGACTGTGAGGACCCTTTGGCTCTATGGCCAGCCTTTAATAAAGGAGAGGAACATACTCCCTTTGGTTTAGATAAGTGATGTGCACTTAAAATAATTATATAATAGTACAATATTTGCATTTATAAATGTATACAGGATGTATAGGCCTACTGTTTTCATAAAAAAATTCAATAAGAACATCTGTCTATTGACATGCCTGATCATAAAGATATATTTATATTTAGAAGTAGACAATATATATTCAGATTTGCATTTATATAGTCAGGATTTATAAATCTACATTCTGATTTACATTTATATATTCACAATTATAACTTTATATACAGATTTCATATAATTATTTCCTGTTTGGCCCTTCATAATATATGTATATATGTGTGAGTGTATATATATAACACACTTAATAATTTTTTTTTAATACATATTTTTATTTATTCATTTCATTATATAAGATGTAGCAAAAACCAAATAGTAAAAACCATCAATTCAAAACTAAAGGCCACATTAAATTCTGAGACTGCTGAGTAAATTCAGGGTCTCCACAGCGATCCTGAAAACATTCTACAGTTGTATTGTAAATGATTACAATTCACACAGATCAGTTAATTCTTGGGGTTGTTAGGATTCAAATGATCAATTAGACACTACAATTATACATTTACATTACATTTATGGCATTTGGCAGCCACCCTTATCCAGAGCGACTTACAATTATCTCATTTATACAACTGAGCAATTGAGGGTTAAGGGCCTTGCTCGAGGGCCCAGCAGTGGCAGCTTGGTGGTGATGGGATTTAAACTCTCAACCTTCCGATCAGAAGTCCAACGTCCTAACCACTGAGCTACCACTACCCTTATAACAACAAGCTGTTTGGGCACAGGGGAGTGCATGACCAGGTTCAGTTTTAGAGCCTGATGCTGAGGCTGGCGAGAGACGAGATTATGTCCGCCAGTGGTGAGGACTCCATGACGGCGTCTTCCTCAATTCTTCCGGGTTTCGGCACCAGTGTGACAAGCTCACTGTGTTGGGTTGAAATGAAGAAGCAGGAGACAGGCTTAGCACAACCCAGAGGCTCTTTATTCGCAACCTTTTTCCGCTTTTGTTTTCCCCGCTCTCAGCGGCCATGTATTGTTCCCCACCTATACACAAACATACACCCGCAAGCACACTGCTCTGGGCTGCTTCGTGTACTCTCTCTCTCTAGGCGCTTGTCTCTCTTTCTGTCTTATCCTCGCCTCCGCTCACTGCAACACAGAATGCTCGTTAGTCAAATTCCCTGCAGGTACGCACTCCTTACCACTCACCTTCTCCGACCCCGCCCTCCATTCACAAATCGGCGCTCGACCACGCCGCCGCTTCCACAACTGTATATAACTGTGTATGTGACAAATAAAAATTTTGAATCTTGAATTCATCTACATCATTCTATAAAATCATATACACTTGGCATCTAAAACAAACAACGTGCTTGACTACTTGACCTTTTTCATTTGGGATACTACTTGCGTTGAAATCTCTTTAATCAAGAGTTCGTCTTTGAAAAACGGGGGACATTGGACAGAATAACTTTTTTCGCTAGTTAAAGTAGTGGCATTACGGGGGTGAAGGTATCTTGTATAACAACTCCATTCTGTACGAAATTGTTTACTTTTTCAATAGTGTCAAGGAAAACAACAACAACACTGTTCATACAGGAAGCAGATAGTATGCTGTCAAAACCGACAATTTTTTCTACAGCCAAGCCACTGAAACATTAATCGCAGGCGTGAGTTTGATACCGTGTCTGCATGACAACCAGTCCAAACTCACCCGCTCCAAAGATGCCATTGCCAACCAGCAAGCTCTGGATAGCGGCATTATTTTTACCTAAAAAAAAAAAAAACCCTCCCTAACCTGCTTTCTTAGCAAGGGCGTAGATTTGCTCTTGGCATTGGTGGGGACCTAAGATTCTACCCCAAAGATGTACTTTAACAAACTCCAGTTTACTTCAGCCATGGTGCAAATGAAACAAGTCTCATACATCTCCAACAACAGACTGAGGACTGCACAACCGGAACCAAAGGGAAAAAAAACTACAAAACATATTTTCCTCGAGGTAATAACAACCAATAAGCTGTGAGATTAGATCAGTGATCAACAACATTGATGTCAATAAATAGCAACATTATCACAGAATAAAAGTATATATATATAACCTTTTAGGCAGATGCTGTTATCCAGATGCTGTTTCCAATCAGTCAGCTGTGATTTAAATAATAGGCTAAATATATAACCTAACTATTGGTACCACACTGACAGCTCAATCATAATGTCTCTTTTGAGAAGGAGCCAAACACATGCCTTCGCCTCTCGTTAACTGAAATAAACTGCTGGCATATCTGTTTTACATCTATACTGTCCAGGATGTCCTGGTGGACATGGCATACTGCAGCATTGTTTAATCGTACTTGGGTCATTG